GCTCTCCAGCCGCCGCAGGCCGCCCCCCGCGCCGCCGCCGCCGCTGCTGACGCTGCCCGCGCTGCTCGCCGCGCCCGCGCCCGCCCCGCTGCCCGCGCCCACAGCGCCCGCGGCGGCGGCAGCCGAGGGGTCGACCAGCCCCGGCACCATCGCCTCTGCCACCTTTCCCATGGCCTTGCGGCTGGGGCGGAACTTCACGGCGAGCTTCCTAGTGCCTGTGATGCTGGGCGCCTCTGTATTGTGCAGCGCCTCAACAGCGCGCGCCGCGTCGTCGGGGTCCCTGAAGTTGACGAAAGCGTACCTTCAAAGTTTTGGGAGCGGGCGGGTGCGCGTCGTTGGGGGGACCATTCAGTCGGTGAGGGCTCGCTAGGGTGTCCAGTCGCGGGGGCGGCGCCGGACGAGGCGGGCGCGCGGCCGTGCGCCGCGGGCGGGCGGGGCAGTCCGGCCGTCCGTCCGGCGGGCGGCGCGGGGGGCGCCCTGCAGCCGCGTCGCCGGCCGCGCGCACGGCAGTCGCCCGTGTGGGTTACAGGGCGGCCAGGTGGCTGGGCGCCCTGGCGAGGCGCGCATTTAGGGGTGGAAGGCGCGGGGGCCGAGTACGGGGGGGCTGCGCGGCATTGGGCTCACATGCGGCCGGGGAAGGTGACGACGTCCTCGACGGCCCCGTGCACTTCAAACACCTGGGAGTGACCATGATTGCGGCGACATGTCGGTGCGTGGCACAGAGGTGTGCAGGGTGGGGTGGAGCGCCTGCCGAACCGGCGCCGGCCAGGCGCCGTCACGGCGGCTGCGAGACCGTCGGCCGTGGGCCGGTCGCGCGGAGGGGCGCGCGGCTCGGACTCAGGCAGCGCGCGTACGGGGTGCGCCCCCGACGCGAGGCGCGCACCTGACGCAGCGCGCTGCGCGGGAGCCGCGAGTTCAGGTTGCCCAGCCAAAGGTGTCGCGTCTTGACCTTAGTCAGCTCCATGGGGTCGTAGTCATCCTCCGCCGGCTGGCATGATGACGTCATCCCAACGTCATCGCCGTCGTCGCCGTCTCGGCTGCCCAACTTGCCCGCGTCCGCCACCCTGTCTGGGGGCCCGGCCGGCGGCTCCGCCCCTGCTGCGCCCTCGGCGCCGGCGGGGGCTGCCGCGGCCGCGGACGGCGCCGCGGCGTTGGGAGCGGCGGCGGCGGCGGAGACGCGGGCGTGGATCGCCTCGGCCTCCGCCAGGGCCGCCGCAAACGAGGCCGAGGACAAGCGCAGGGCGTCCAAGTCCGACAGAGAGGCGTCTGGAATGGAGGAGGCGGGGCGCAAGTGGGACAGGGCCCGGCGGAGGTCGGAGAGCGGCCGCCATGGGGGGCATGTGGGGTACGCGGAGGAACGCTGCTGACAGGAGGTCGCTCGAGCAAACACCAGGATTCGCTCCCTCGCGTGCGGTCGATTGGCGCGGCTGTGGCATGTGAACGGCCGGCGGCCGCGGCGTTTGTGGCCGCACCTGAGGGAAGGGACGGCAGGTGGCCGTGGCTGCTGCTGCTGACCGACGCGGCAGACGCGAGGTCCAGGAGGCTCCCCGGGCTGGTCAGCGACAGCGCGCGCCGCAGCCCCCGCGCCAGCCCCGGCGGCACTTGCAGCGGGGCCGCCTGCTGCTGGTGGTGCGGCGGCGGCGTTGGTGCCGCCGCTGGCGGCGAGGCTGCGGCGGCGCTGGGCGCGCCGTCGGCGTGCGAGCTCGGGGGGGACAGCGCCGAAGGGTTGGCAGGGGCGGCAGGTGAGGTGCCAGACAGCCAAGCCATGGTTTGTTGGCCCCCCTGCTGCGCCGCGCCTGCCTGATGGTCCCTGCTCAACTGTTGCTGCTGCTGCTGCTGCCGCTGCCGCCGCTGCTGATGCTGCTGCTGCTGCTGCTGCTGCTGCTGCTGCTGCTGCTGCTGCGATTGCTGTTGCGTCTGCTGCTGCTGGTGGTGGTGGTGGTGGTGCTGCGGCTGTTGCTGCTGCTGCAACGAGGTGTGCGGCAGGTTCGCTGCCTGCGGACTACCACTAAGCTGGCTCTGCCCCTGCAGCAGCAGCACTCCCTGTTGCAGCCACTGCTGCTGCTGTTGCTGCTGCTGCTGCTTCTGCTGCTGCTGCTGCTGCTGCTGCTGCTGCTGCTGCTGCTGCTGCTGCTGCTGCTGCTGCTGCTGCTGCTGCTGCTGCTGCTGCTGCTGCTGCTGCTGCAGGAGTGCTGCCTGCATCTGCAGGGCGTGCAGCTGCAGCTGCTGCGCTTTGGCTGATGCGGCAGGGTTGATGGAAGGGTCAAACACCCCAGCAGGCGGCAGGATGCTGCTGCCCATAAACAGCCCAGGAGGCAGCTGCATCGCCTGAAGCGCCGCGCCAGCGGGCCCCACGGATGACGGCAGCGGCAGTGGCAGGGAACCCCCCGGCAGGCCGCCTCCACTCAAGCCGGCGCCGCTGCCAACCCTGCCATCGTGCGCGCCGAGGGAGCCGGGAAGAGGGCCGAAATCGCAGCCCTGGAAGCTGGAGAGGCGCCCCTGGACCGGTGCGCCCGGGCGGATGGCAATGTCGACGATCGGGTCGTCACTGCTGCACAGCGCCGCGGGCGCATGCTGCTGCTGCTGCTGCTGCTGCTGCTGCTGCCGCTGCCAGTCCGCCTTTTCGCCGCCGCCCGCACCAAGGTCGGTGCTGGCAGACGCCGCCAGCGGCACTCGCGCCGCCGGGCCGGGCGTGGGCGGGCCCTGCTGCTGCTTTGCGGCTGGATCCTGGGGGCCGTCAGCAGGGCTGCAGCTGTCGTGAGACGCTCCATCGGGTGCCGACCCAGCCCAGAGCGCCCCGGGCTGCCCGAGCTGCACGCCGCCCAGCGCGGCCGCCTCGTGCCGCCCACCACGTCCCTGCGCGCCGCAGCGGGTGGAGCGTCGGCGCGACGTGCAGTGCGCCATGCTGCGGGATTGCACGTAGACTGCGCGCTCGCCTGGGGCGTCCTGTGCCGTGGCCCCGAGGCTGGCCGTTTCCCGTCCTCGGCGGCGCCACGTCCCCGTCTGAACCCCCCTCCCGTCAGAGCTTCAGTCACCGGGACCGATCCGTGTGGTTGGGTGATTGCGCAAGTGCTAGGTACCCTTTGTACAGCAGACGCCACAATGCTCACCTGCATGCGCGGCCGGCAGTCGATCGGGACGCCCGACGCCGCCGAGGCGGTCGCTTCCACTAAAACATGCCTCTGGACCCCCTATCGAGCACATTGCAGACCGAACGAGCTGTAAGTGATGCTGTTGGCATCTGAATGTGATGGGAATGCAGCTTAGGCCCTGCTCGGGCCTACGGGAAGGGCGTTGTTCTGGCGCTGACCAACAGGTGCCTGCCATCCAGCTCCTCAGGCGTCGGCCCCAAATTCTATGATTGTGATGCATTCTTTCTGAGCATCCGTCCGCGCGCAGTCCCATCCCCAGCCCGCCCTGCTTGCAAGCCAGGGTCACCAGGTTGAACTACTCCGCGCTTGCCCCATAGGCTGCCTGCTGCACGTGATCAATAGCAACTACGTATTCATCTGATTCGCGGCGTGATTCAGCGTCCTCAGACCCACCTTGACGTCGCTGCCTGGAGGTGATGGACCCGCGCAGAGCTCGCCAAGGAGTCCATCGCAATCGTCAGCCTTAAATCCGCTCATGCGACACGAATACACAGGACAGCGCGTTGGCCGAGATCATCCGCTTGTGGCCGCGTTGAGGCCATCCTGAACCATTCTAGGAGCTGTGGTGGCTATTTCACTGGAGAAAAACGCACTCCTACGGCATGGCTAGGCAGGCAATGGAGCAGCTCAGTCAGGGAGGGCCAATGCAGAAGGCGAAGGAGTTGACCACACATGTGCGGCATCTCATGAACGCAGTCAACCCGTTGCCGGTTCCGCGCCAATCGACACACGTGGATGCAATCACTTAAACTTGCATGCATGCTACGACGGAGTTTATCTAAACTCGATGCTGCGTTGTTGCACGCGCACCTCGATCCAAACGACGTGGAGTCAATCATTGGGGCGATGGGCTGGGCATGACACACCGACGCCAACGCTGAATTATGCCATGCATCCGCGGAGAGGCCGCTGCCGCTTTGGTAGAAGGAAGCAAGCCCGCCGCGCGACCCAAGCGAACAGGCATAGATATGTTACAAGGGGCCCCATCAACTCGACACCCATTCGTTGTACTGCAAGCGTCAGCCGCAGCCCAGGAGATAGGCAAACGCGGGGAGCGTTGGGGTTGGGGGGGTCAATCGGGGGCGCGCGCCAGGCAGGAGGACATGTGCGGGAGGCTGGCGGCGCAGGCGAGCACGCAGAGTGGGAGTGCGCACTTCATGCACGCGCCACGCCCCTCGCCAACACCGCCACGCAGGAGCCCTCGAGTGCGCTCGCACAGCCTCCCAGGGCTTACCTTGATAACATTGTGCACCGTAGCCACGACCCCTGCGCACACGCCGCAGGGTAGCGCTCGAATTTCAGACCCTGGCACGGCAATACGTGTGCTTGTGTAACACATACGAGACAACAATGAATGCAAGCGCAGCATGCTGGGTCCCTCATCAGGTAAATTGTTCCTTTGCGCCCCGCGCCCCCTGGCCCCGTTACCTGCCGCGGCCATCAGCCCCGCAGGCATGAATTTTCTCGTTACAAGGAAGCGCTGCCCCATAGAACCCGTCTGGTTTGCGTTTGAGGTCGGAGGGCGCGGTTGTTGACGAGTAATGTTGCACACTCTCAGGAGCAGGTTTGCCAGACGGGCCAAGCAGCAGCTCCACATGCGCGGCTCCCTCCACGCAGCGACCCAGCGGCCTACCAGGACCATTGAAGAGGCAAATCCGAGGGCGAATCCCGTGTCGGCGCGGCCGTTGTTAATGAGGTAGACGCTGCCGAGCCGAAAATGGGAGAAGGGGTGCGGCGGGGACGAGCGGCCACACGACGCGCTGAGGACGGGTTCTTGGGGCGGCAAGCGAGGGCGGAAGGCACGCTGGGGCGCAATCAGGGCGTGCTCGCTTTCACCTGGTGCCATAGAGCCCGCCGAACGCCAGCCCCGCTACTAGCTGCGCGGGAAGGAGCCGGGGGCGGACGTCGCGGCGGCGGCGGCGGCGGTTTGCGCAGGCCCGGCCTCTGCTGCGGCGCGATTGTCGCAAGGCAGCAATGCTGCCCTGCAGTGATGCTTCTGCACTCTGCAGCAGCTGCTGCATTGATGCTTCGCAGTGCCGCCCGAGGCACATGGGCTTGATGCATGCGCTGCCACAAGCCCGTTGCGGCACGACGGCCTTGCCCGGGGGTGCCAAACAGGCACCGGATAAAACCTACAGATGCCTTGGACCCCTTCTTCACAGCACCCATGATGCCCCCTGGTGGATCGCGGTTCCGGAAAAGTTGCGGGATAGGACACGCGGCAAAGGTGGGCTGCGCCGCAGGCGTGCGTGCTGTGGCGGGGCGCTGTCTGGAATCAACACGCCTTCAAGCACTGCTGCCCGCACCGCACCGGCTGCACAGAGCACTGCCATGGTAGCATTGATGTGCGAAGCACCCGCAGGAGCCATGCTTGCACCGCCAGATCGCGACTCGAAAACTATTATTTCGGAGAGCACACGCGCGGTTCCGAGGAACAGACGGCTATGAAAAAACAATAATTGCAATGCCCTGGCATTCTCGTGCTCTACTGCCTTGCCCGGCGTGCGTTGACATGCCACAGTCGTCGACCAAAGCGCACAGCACGAGCAGGCAACTGCCACTGCCACTCAAGTGGTCACCACTGTGCAGCCTGTTCGCCGATCAGCCGATGCGGTCAGATTACAACAGTAGCAGGACTTAGTCAGGGGCCGCACTTCATACACGGCTGTCTCGTCATCTCAACGCACGCTCGACGCAGCAGGTGCAAGCGCCCTCTCTACCCCTTTGTCGCCGCCGCTGGTGCCGCTGCCGCTGCCGCTG